CCCCGCCACCCTGCCGCCCCCGCCCCGGACGCCATGTACCCGGCGCCGCGCAGACTCGACGCGAAGCGCCGCGCCGCCCGGACCGTCATTTGTTGTTAGCGCGTCCCGTCGTCTGCGCGGTCCGTCCAGTCCCCGAGGTCCCGAGGTCCAGAGGGCCGCTGTCAGCCTGTCGTGTGCAAGCGAGCCGGAGCCGGACCCGAGACAGGTGGGCGCCCAGCAGCTTGATTCGGGAGTAGCCTCTGTAGCCCTGTAGCTAGCGAGCTAGCGGCCCTACCTAGCCACAACGCCACGCTTGTTCAGTCGGAAAACAGTCAACACTCACCTTGGCGCTGCCGGTTTATTGGTCCGCGCACTGCGTCCGGGACCCCGCGGGCGGCTCGACGATGTCCTGGAGGCGGGCTGGCGCTATCCTATATTGGCGGCGCGTCCTGGAGACGACCTCTTGGCCCGCAAGTCCGGCGTCGTCCAGTGCCGGGTGGGTAATGCCTGGTAGTGCCCTGCAGGCGCGCGCGCGCGCGCTGGAGCGGCGGCGTCCTGGAGAGCAACACTGACGGCGGCGTGTCCGTGCGGTGCCGAGGTGGGCGCGGGAGTGGCCCAGCACGGCGTGCTCGCCGAGTCCCGAGCCCCCCCGAGCACGGCTAGCAGCACAGCGCCACAAAGGAGCCTCCACCCTCCCCGCGCCTCGCCCCTCGCCTTCCGCCTAATGATGATGACGATACCGCTGCAGCACTTGATGATGATGGCGGGTCATTTGGACCGTCATAATGACGCTTGGCTCCGCGCGGCCCCGCCCGGCCCCGTCCCTGTCCCCACCGCAGCCGCGCTGCTCAATGATGATGATGATGATGATGACGCTGCCGGTCCCAGCGGCGCCCCCACCAAGATCCCCACCACCCTCCTCGCTCCATGCACATGCCCTGTCAGAAAAGAAGTAGAAAAAAGTGCGCCCAACTGTACACACTCTGGTGTGGGGCACTTCTCCTGAATCCTGGCTGGAACGTTTTGGACTCGGGGACCGGACGGTTACAGATGAGAGGCCTCTCGCTTTTAATGTCGATCCGCCGGGCTTAGCCTGACGTCAGCGGTGACAGAGCCGCAGATGAGGAGCCGCGCACTCTGAACCACTCTCCTCTCCCACAATAATACAAAACGGAACTTTTCCCAAATGTCGCATCTCGTACCGCGGGATAATGGTCGCAAACCGTCACAAGTACACCTTCTTATGTTATTTAATGTTTGAAGGTGAGTGACCCTCCCACACCCTCTCAGTCGGCGTGTTGTAGTACACACAATTGTTTCAGCCGAGATACCGGTGCCGGAGCACCCGGTTTTACACATTCTGCAGTCGGTTCGAAACGTGAGTTTATCGCAGGGTAGTGCTGCAGTTTGATGGCCCCGGGGCTGGCGCGGCCGGGCGGTCTGGCTGTGAATGCAGTTCAGCTGCAGCGGCGGCGCCGGGGCGACGTAAATAAATCCATGCAAAGTGTCCCCTCCGCCGCTCAGCTTCGCTCAGCTTCCACGCGGCGCTGAACGCGACATGGCGGCAACGCCACCGCCGCTCCCGTCTGGACCTTTTATTTTAGGTCCGTCTGGTCGTTAAAAACGTCTCAGCCCCCCCCCCCCCCCCGGTCCACTTGCACCTTAGCTGCCCTCTCCGTCGCGAAGAGAAGGCTCCTGCATCAGGCCGCGCGCGCGCCAGGGCAGAGCACGGTGTGTTCGATGATGGGCCCGAGGCAGAGTGCGCCGAAAAGTCGGCATATTGGGCCGATCGCCGAGGCCACGCAGCTGTTCAGGCCATACAGGGCGAGAGGGGCTCCCTCACCTCTCACCTGCAGCGGCCTCCATCAGATCAGACTGAGCCTCAACCTGGACCAGCAGCGAACAGGCTTGCTCAGGCCGCTGTGCGGCCACGGCGATCGGGCTGATATGTCGACGAGAGTGTTTCGCACTCTGGCCCACGGGGCTCCACGGCGGCGGGGCTGCTCGATCTGCATCGCCGTCCTTATCAGGACCACTACACACCCCGACGACGCCCCGCCCCGGCAGAGAGCGTACGTCACAAGCCCTGCCAGGTCGCGTGGGCGGACGGCACGGGCATATCACGGGCATGCTCAATATTGAAAAGAATTTCTCACATTCACCCCCCCCCCTCCCCACTTCCTACCAACTCTCCACCAATTGGCCCGGCCTGGCTCTGCCCGCGCGAAGGCCAAGTAGTAGTCGTGTGGCTCGCGCCCGGGTATGGCGTCACGCCCCCCTCCCTTTGCCCACCTACTCCATTCAGCGCGAGAGAGAGGCACCTGTGACCTGGTGGCTGGGCAGTGATGCTTGGGTGGGCTTTGCATTCGGCCACGGCGGTGGTGCAGCGTGTGCAGCGGCCGGAGGCGCCGAGTTTAAACCCGTGTCGCGATCGTGTAAGTCGGTGTCCCCTTGATGGGGGCGCTGAAGCGCGGCGTGGGGTATGGGGGGTGTGCGCGAGGGGGAAGTACCTTGGCAGGGGCCCAGCACCACCACCACCGACCGACCCCCAGGGCGACGGGCGGGCGGACGGGCGGGCTGGCGGACACGGACGCGCGCGAACACCGCGTTCGCCCCTTCCCCTTCCCTCGGAGATGCCCCTCCTTGTCTCTCTCTGCCGCTGCTGCTCGGCGTGCTGCGGCCGGGCGGCGGGCGGCGTGGTGTTGTGGCGGGTAGTCGGCTCTGCTCGGCGCGGCAGGCGCTCGCGCTACGCTCGCTACGCTCGCTACGCTCCCTCTCTCCCGCGGATAGCCCGGCACAGCCCGTACAGCGAGTGTGTTGGTGTGTGTGTTGCAGCGGCTAGGCTAGGGCGCGCGAGGAGGATGTGAGCGGCAGCGGCGCACCCAGCCCCAAAGGCGCCGACCGCACAGAGGACCATGTTCCCCTGGTCCAAGGACCGCCCGCGGCCCCGGCACAGCCGCCGACCCGGCGACCTCCCGTGCCTACCGCCCCCCGACGCAGAGTTCAACGCCGAGCCCGGCAGTGCACAAGGTACGCCTGTTTGCTGCCGATAGGGTGGATATATAGGTAGGCGTGTAGGTCCCGGCGGGACGCGGGGAGGGGAGGGGGTACGGGGTGGGCGCGGGCCGTTTGAAATAACGCCATGGTCGTCAAGTAAACACCCTCTGCAAGCCGGTTGTTTCTAAAACCTTACGCCTCGGGTTAGAGGTTTGAATTATTCGGGGCTGCCGAGCAATAAGGGGTGCTTGTCTTACCCACCATGTGACTCGCCCTATAGGGAGCGGCGTGCTGAGGGTGCTGCCACCGGCATGCCTCCAGCAGGGGGTGCACGAGCACGCCGCCCCCGCCCCGCCCCCGCCGACCCCGACCCCCTCCACCTGCCGCCAGGACCGGCCGACGCATGATTCCACCTAGGAGCTTTTGTTTTTGTTTACATTCGGCTATTTTCACCATGTCATTTCGTTTTCTAGTTTAGATTAGTTCTGATGTAGCCTTAGTGTGTAATTGTTTTGGGTTGTAGAGTTTGATTTTTTTTGGTTTTACTTCCGAATGCCTCTAATTTAATCACTAAACCTTTTTGTTTTTGCATGTGTCCGTGCCTGTACGGGCTCGCGATAATTGTTACTTCCTGTGTATCACCTGTTTGAATCTACCTTTGAAAGGCGACCCTTAAATACAAATCCGGCAGCAAACAGTGCTCCTTGACCATTTGTAACTGCTCATTTGTTTCAAGTGTATGAGTTGTGTCTCTTCTGTTTGAATTTTAAACTGTCGTTATGCCTGAAGTTTTGTTCTACCATACTTCGTTTTCTTATTTTCTTTCTCTCTCTATATGGGCCCCTTCGGTTGGCCGCGCCCATCTGTGTCCGCATGTCTCTAGTCGCAGCCGCACCAGCACACCTGTTCGGCGGGCGAAGCTCTTAAAAATTTTGGCGCTCCTGCGGCCTGCGGTGCATGCTGCCTTGTGCCGGTGTTATCGTTCGCCGATCTCACGCCCATCCCTATGAATCTTCTCTGTTGCAGACGTGTGCTGCGGTGAAGACCTTCCCGAGGTTGAGATCATCAGCTTGCTGCACGAGCAGATTCCCCGCTACCGGCTGCGCGCCGACACTCTAACCCAATTCACCGGTCAGTATGAAAGAGAGCAACCTCTCTTCGCTTCTCGCTCTTATGATGCCATCAAAGAGCGATCATGGGCAAAGAGCGATAGATAACCTTCTCTCTTTTCTCGCAGGCTACGAAAACCAGGACTGGTACATTCCAAGCCCAGCGCTCAAACCGGCGGAGACTGCTCTAACCCCGGATCAGATCCGAGAGACCCTCAACTATTTCCGTGAGTACTATAGCATGAAAAGATGGAACGCCTTTGATGGGCACGAGTTCGACGCCAAAGTTTCTTGTATTTAGTTGGGATGCGTCGTGTTTTACCGCGTTCTTTCCGACACGATTTACGCCTTCACGCGATTTGGCACGCGGCTGGCTTGGATAACCAGCACCTCATTCATTAGTGGACGAACAACGCTCAACGCCCCGCCGGTTTGACTTTCGCCGGCAGACCAACTCGACCAGCAGCGCAGAAAGGGGGGGCTGCGGCAGGCAGGTTGGCCATGCCTCGATTCGGTCGCCCCCGCCCCGCCATACCCAGCGGATCGGTCGGTTCCACCCCTCGCCCCCCCACTAGCGGGTTTGGATGGTTTTGTTGTGACTCTGTCGCCACTCTGCTTCGGAATGCAATCATCTCGCCCAGACTCACAGTGAGGTGCGGGGGCGGAGGGCGTGGCCCGCGGTGGTGGCGGCGGCGGCGGGGCGTCTCAAAGGTGTGCGAGTTTGCGCTGACAGAATGGTGTCGGCCCGGTGGTATACTAGATATACGGAGACGGAGGACCAATAGCGCGTCGTCGTCGTCGTCTTGAAGGCGGTCAGCTGCGCGTCAGCTGCCGGGGCTGCAAGGATATTGGATGCCATCCAAGGGGGTGCAGTGGCGGGGCGCGGCGGAGGCGTCGGCGGGGTGGGGCGTTTGCGGAGGCTCTTTATTTTAAAGCGTGACACGGTCGGGCGGCAGGGGCGCGATGACTTCTCGGCCTTGGTCTGGAGAGCGACTTTGAACTTTGTGTCGCCGCCATCCGACCGGTCCGGTGCGGTGTCAATCCAACACACCGAGACGACTGCCTGCCCCGGCGGGCCGCGATGCGCCGGGCGCCTCTGTCGCCGTGCCCTCCGCGCAATGCCCCTGCAGGCCGTCGCCGTGGTCACTGCCCTTTCTGGTCGGGGCGGTGGTGGTATGCC